TGATGTGTTGGGTGTAATGTGTTGGGTGTGATGTGTTGATTCGAATGTGTTGGGTGTAATATGTTGAGTGTTGAGTATAATGTGTTGGGTGTGATGTGTTGATTCGAATGTGTTGGGTGTAATGTGTTGTGTGTAATGTGTTGAGTGTGATGTGTTGAGTATAATGTGTTGGGTGTGATGTGTTGAGTGTAATGTGTTGAGTGTGATGTGTTGACTGTAATGTGTTGAGTGTAATGTGTTGAGTATAATGTGTTGGGTGTGATGTGTTGAGTGTAATGTGTTGAGTGTGATGTGTTGACTGTAATGTGTTGAGTGTAATGTGTTGAGTGTGATGTGTTGAGTATAATGTGTTGGGTGTGATGTGTTGAGTGTGATGTGTAATGTGTGATGTGTTGGGTGTGTTTGCTTATTAAAGAGGTTGATATGTTGTTCAACAAATTAAAAATTACCGCTCTGCCTTTATTTAATTTCGGTCACAATCTGACTTGACGTCATGCTTTTTAAAATGCTTTTTACATTCCCCCCTCCCACCACACACATCGTCGCAAAAAGCCCCACCCCCACCCCCTCTCAGCGCCCCTCTAAACCTAACAAGTAAGTGTAAGTTGATTCATTCTACAAAAAGAAATGATGGATTCAAACTGCAGGCTCGGCTAGTCAAAGATCTGGCTTAACCCAAGTCTGAAAGATACAGTTTTATAATATAGAGCTAAGAGACCATCAATAAGTTTGTTAAAAAAAAAACTTGCTTTGTAGCGGTATTCAAGATAGAAACAAGTGATTGTTTTAGCCAGGTAAAAAAATCTGGCTTAAATGTGACCGTACGCTCAAATCTACCGAATAACAATCTATCAATAGTAAACAATTTCGAAAAAAAAAACATTTTTTTTTAAATATTAAAAGATGATAATAATTAGATTCTAGACCAGCAAAAAAGACGCATCCATGTCTTCATCAGCATAGAAAAAAAAATTAAAGCCATTATACATCGCTATCAAATTTTTTATATTTTTTTACTCCTTTAACACGAAATTTAACTGCCCTATAATCTAGTGCTTGTCGGCTTTCTCCCCAACGCTTTAAAAAATTTTAAATAAAAATAAAAACGTTACCTGCTCGTTAATCGAGTTTCATTAGTTAGGCTGGATATGTTGACATGCAGACGACTGGAATGGGCCGCCAATAGATAAACACACACACACATACACGCCGAACCACCAAATTTGGCGCGTCACCGACAGAAACGGTGCGCTATGCAAAGAACGACAACTGCCTGTGTACGCAAGCATTCCTGGTGAATTGTCGAACGTAGATCAGTAAAACAAACATTTGCGCTGTCAGTCGATATTGAAGCAGAATTTGGTTTCCCTCCTTTCTGCCCGGTATCTGTTTGGTTTAGACATATGGTTTTAACAGGCAGAATTCAAAAGGTAGCCAGTTATATCCATTGCTTAGTTAAAAATTGTTTTGAAGTTTATTGGTTAACTGATTATCTACCATGTTAAACTCAACATTCTGAATTAATTATTAGTTAATAGCTCATCAATTTTTTTTTATCTAATTAAGCTGAAAGTTTGTAATTAATTTATTGCTGATTAATTCACTACCATGTTTAGTTCATGTTAACTTTTTTTTAAAAATTAGAAGCTACAATAACCAGTTGTCTAGTTTTCCTTAGTTTATTAATTAGTGCTAATTAACGTTCGACCAAGTAGAGTCGAATCGAAAATATCGTACAACCGTTCTGGTTAGGGTTAGTTTTTAGTCACACTATAACGATTGGTTAAGGTTAATTCTTAACACACCAGCATCAACCTAACCTCGCTAACTTGGTGATGTCCGCTGTGTTCCGAGCCTAGAATCGAGTGTTTTAAATGCAGCATTTAAAAACGTCACACACGTCATTGAGAAATATATTATTTTTATCAAGTCTATCACGAGTATAGTTAAAATTCCTATTCAATAAAAAAAAAAATTATTCAGATGTGACTGACCTGTGGACCTTTTAATTTAGACTTTAGACCAAGCTCAGGTCTGATGTGACTACCCTGTGGACCTTTTAATTTAGACCAACCACAGGTCTGATGTGACTATATTGTGGACCTTTTAATTTAGACCAACCACATGTTTGATATGACTAACCTGTGGACCTTTTAATTTAGACCAACCACATGTCTGATGTAACTGACCTGTGGACCTTTTAATTTAGACCAATCACATGTCTGATGTGACTTGCCTTACTTAACTAGATGTCCTTTTGTCATGCTATCATTAATCTCACTCAGTTCTTATATAGAGTGTTATTTATTATTTCGTGACGTTCTTTATGTTATACATGATATTTCTACTTCATGCTGAATTAATCAATTACTTCACCATATTGCCTAGATAACTCAACTCGTATCCTTTTTTTTTTCGTATCCTGATAAGTAAAATGATAGAAACTTGTATGGTATTAATACGAAGATTTTTATATTTTTTCTTTCTACTAATGAAAATTTACATATGGTAAAGTGTAAAGGCAAGTCAATTTTTAAAATTATTTTTTACCATAGTCAGGCTTACCAAGCCGATCGCACTTAATGAACCAACACACCTTCCCACAATATTCCCTTCAAAAAGTCACTCCACGCAAGGATTACCTGCAACGTCCACCTTGACTAAATTATTCACGAACACACCTCACTGCTCGCTACCACCTAGTTATTTCCCTTTATGTAGTTGTCGGTGATCGGCCTTCAGTAACGTTTAAAATTTAATGTTTAATAACACTCTAGTTTCAAAATTTGACCACAACCTCCTCACAATTTTTGTGACTTTATCGTAGAAAATGTATACTTTAATCACTTTCCCACTTCCCGGAGAAAATATCTGAAAGAAACACTGAACCTAAGTAAATACTTGAAGTAGTAAACAAAGTTTCGGTCTAGCATTGTGACCCAACACCCCATCAAATCCGGGACCGCCTAATCGGCCTTTAGATTGATACCCCATTTGTCAAACTGACTGATACCCCAGCAGCCGATGTGTCAAACTGACCCAAGCTCAGATAAGCCATTTCTTTACGATTTATAATACGACACAAAGCAGGTCGTATCAGTTTCCGGTATCCCTTCTATAAAAAACGAACAGCAGTTTAAAATTAGTACTTGCAAAGCAATGAACGCGGTCACAACAGAAACATTGGTGAACGGCGAAGCACCTGTTCGCCGTACGGCATTCGCCGAGAAAAAACGAACGTCGCGAGTGCTAAATTAAACACAGGTGTGTAGTGCCCATTCACCGAACTAATCCGATTAAAATCGTTTTGCTATTCAAGAAGATCACAGCTAGTTAGGTGTAATTATTTACACCACTATGAATACGTTTGTTATTGGTTTTAGCTGACGGAGAATGAAAGGACGGTTAATAAGCCTGCTCAATATTCAAGCTTCATTAGGAGTCAGCGTTTTCCTTATATCAGGTGTATTGAAGGATTTATGTCCATTATATTACGTGTTTTGATCTACAGCTCTATGAGTGATTTCTAATTGGTTTTTCTGAATGAATTCAATCTGCAAGTTAAATAAAAAAAAACTAATATGTGCATTAAATGTACAATAGGACGTAATATGGGTAAAATTTACTTACGAAGCAGGTCATTATGTGTATCATTAAACACACCAATACACACTGGTTGTTGTGTGTTTGACACCAGCCACTACTAATAACTTTAATAAACACATGTTATGGCGTGTTTGGGTTAGCCAGTAACTACCACTGACAACAATGCTATAAATATGTTTAGTACAAGTCTTGTTAAATCTCTTTAGGTCTTTACTGTACTTGGATGTTGAAATCAAGGTTTTTATGACGCATGAAAAGAATTAGTTAATAAAAAGTATGGGACGGTGTAGTCGAGTACACGGTAGCTTATCCTAGCAGCGCCTTATCCTAGCAGCGCCTCTACTAGGTGGGGTGTCACCCGGTGCGGTAGGCCAGGGTGTCGCCCCCCCCCCCCCCTCCGCCAACATTTATATACGCTGTATGGTGTACTTAAACTATAGGTAATTTTGTGTAGCTCCATGTCTATATCAAAATAATTGGGAAAAGCTAATTAAAATGTAGACAGTTTTTATTTTGGTGTCACCCTTTTTGAATTGTGTCACCCCGTTCAGTCGCCCCCTCCCCCCACACCTTGTGATCCTACCGAAAGCTGGGTATCGAGTTTAGCCTGAGCTAGAATCCACCGGACGTCCGTGAGTCCACCCAGCTCAAATGAGTACATGACTAGAGTCGGGGTAAGTTCAGTCCAGTAAAGACAACCTGGATCAGTGCTGACCACAAAAGATACCTTCTATTCCCGGGGTCTTTTGTAACCTTTGCATAACTTGTCCAACAGAAATTGGTCCGGTATTCTACACATACGTGATGTAGTGTGTAATGTCCTGTCTATACACTAACACCCTGAACGCAGCAACCCAGGCATCCAATCAGCTTGTCTCTTGTAGTATCCATGTCATGTATTAGAATCACAGTCTCAGTTGTCGGCCTTGTCTGTACTTGGTTATCTTCGAATTGTTTGCATTGTATGCCGGGGGGGATTATGCGTTTTTATTTCAGTTCTTTTAATATCCGTTTATCGTTAAATCAAAATTTACTGGGAATAAATAAAATAAAAAAGCTCGATTATTTTAATAAATATTGATAGTAAAAGAGAGGAAAAAGATGGGAAAAAAACTATTATTCGGTGTTTAGTTTTTTGGTTTAGGTCTGAATCTGCTTATTATGCAAAGAATGTGTGGGTTCGTGATTTTATAAACGGTTATAAATATAAAAGGAATAAAGATTAAAAGATTTCTCATGAGAAATTTTGATACTTTTTTTGGCCTGCCTTCGGCACTATACAGTTAAAAAAAAAAACAAGTATGGGAGATAACTGAATTTTATCTTACTTAACAAAGCTTCAAGTGTTACTTCCCATTAATTTATTTGTCTTGCCATTTTTCTTCGTTTCTTAGGAAATATGGAACTGATGACCCAGTTGTCGGCAGTGATATCGAGGCCAAGTTTTCGGAACTTATTTATGAAGAATTTAAAAAATACAGGTAATATAAAATCTTAAAATACTTGAAGAAATACATATTTTAAATTATTGGGAAATTTGGAACTTTATTTATTTTTATCAATTGATATATATATATTATATATATATATATATATATATATATATATATATATATATATATATATATATATATATATATATATATATATATATATAATTATTTTGGCCCAAATAAATAGAATATTTATCAACATTATTAATTTGATGGTCAAGGTAGTTCTGGTACTTTGCTCAACAAATATGGTCTTCCATCCATATTAGTTGTGCCACTACCTCATTCCTGTGATATATATTTGATTCTTACACTGACCTACACATAACATAGATACCAGTGCATCGATTGTCGAAGTGTAGAACTACTTGATCCTGTTTTTGTGTCTCCAGTTTTGACCGCCTTGAGGTGGACGAGCATGACATAGTCATGACGTCCGCTAACCCGGCCCAGCCCAACCGCCTAGAAATAATTAACGCAAACACCACAATAAAGGAAATGGTGTTCAAAAACTCCCAGAAAATTATCAGTGACTCACCATCTACAACACCAGAATGGAAGCATCCGCATGTAGCTTTCTCCCCTAAAGGCGAAGTCCAAGTGAGTTGTTTGATTTTATGTTTGGTTATTTTGTCAACTGTTTTAATGGGCTGGCTATGTTACTATTTTTGCAATATTATATGTTATACACTTCTTGTGCTATTTTTTTTGTTGCCATTTTAAATTTGACATTATTTGATGTATCACGAGATTCGATTATTCTTTAAAATATAATTTTCTGGTTTATAACCAGACAGACTTTGTAAAATTAAATAAAAATTTCACTATGTTAAAAATATTTTTTACATGAATCAATATTTTAAATACAAGATATATGTAAGGCTTATCTACCCTGAATAAAAACTAATAATTTAAATGAATGTTCCATCTTTTGCGTGCACAAACACTGTTTATTGATTGTTTTGTTTCCCAGGCTAACTTAGTTTATGGACACTACGGCAGAAAAACTGACCTCAGCATCGTACAAGCCTTGAATGTTGAGATAAAAAACAAAATAGTTTTGATGAGGTTGGGAAAGTTAACAGTGGCTGAGAAGGTAAAACTAAAAACAAAATGTTTATATTTAATCAATGTGCATTGTAAATTAATTACAAAGAATATTGAATTAACATTGCTTTAGAACTAGCATATTAGGATTTATTAAAATTACATTTGGTGTGTAAATTGGTGCATGTCTATAGTAAGGATATTTTAATACATCCTTACAAATAAAAGTAAATAATAGATCGAAATTAATTTCTATTCAAAGAAGTAAAAAGTCCAGAAAAAATCCTCAAATTAATATTTGAGGATTTTTTCTGGATATTTTTTCCTTTCAGTATAACTTATTATCATAGTTGCAGTATCTAATTTAGCTTAGATCTAAGAAATGTTTGCATCTAATGCAGATAAAAAATGCTGAAGACCTAGGTGCTGTAGGTGTTCTATTGTACTGGGAACAGGAGGATGCAAGACATGAACTGGTTGATTCTTTTTCTTCAAGTTATGTCCCTTTTGCTTCAGCTTTCATGTTTACACATGGTAACTCAGCATTCTATCTTTTATATATTCTTCTTGTTAGCTGACAAAAATTGGTTTTCTAGATTTTACAAGCTATCTTCTTCAGCTTTTAATTTGTTTTAGTTATCTCAGTGCTGATAATGTACCTTTTATAATCTAAAAATACTTTAATTTCTCTTATAGCTAAATGTTTATTTAATTTCAGATTTTCAGAAGTTGTATGTCCCATCAGTTCCTTGTCAAACCATCTCAAACGACCAAGCAAAAACTTTGATGTCATATCTAAATATAACATCAAACACAAAGACACAACCAGGCTGGACTGTGTTAGTGGCCAACAATACAAGAGGTAAACAAATCATTGATCATTCATCCCGGTTGGGAAATATACATTTGTCTGGATTTTACCTTGGTACAAAAATGCTAAATTTTCTTCAGGTCTAAAGTTTGTATGTACAATTATTTGTTGGTCTATCAATGAATTTTTCATATGTTTTCATCACTATCATCATCAGATAAGAAAAATTTCTCGTATGAGTATACACATTATTTTCTGTATTTTTTAAAAGTTTAAAAGAATAGCTTTACCAACATGTCTAGTATTAGAGATATTACAATATTTATTTTCAGAAAATGTCAGTGTCCGCCTTTCAGTATTCAACAAAAAGTCGATGAAGAAAATAAAAAATCACATTGCAACCATTTTAGGTTCAGAAGAAACTGGTATGGTTTTTATAACAATTTTTCTCCCATTAATATATTTATTAATCCAATTAGGGGTTCAATAAGAAAATAAAGAAAATTTAAAAAAAAAACATGTTTCACATCTATCCAAAACATTCGCCTAAAATATAAATGAAAAATAAATAACTTTTTTTTTATATATTATAAACAGCTAATAACATCTATTTTTCTAAAAATTTGCTATATGGTAGTGGGTGAACTAACCTGTTAATGTTTGTTGTGTTTTACTTCCAACAAATTATAATCCACTTTTGTATAGATCACTATGTGATAGTGGGTGCCCCAAGATCTGCCCTCCCTGGCCAACCACAAGATGTGGTTGTGAGCACCTCGTTACTTCTTCAACTAGCCTACAGCATCCACCACATGCATTTCCACAACCACTGGCGGCCGTACATAGGCATCAAAATTGTTTCCTGGGGTGGTGCGGAATACTCTAACATTGGTCTGCTTCATTATTTAAAGGTAACAGGAAGTCTTGAATTCATGTTTGAAGCTCTCCACTTTGTTGTTAATATTGCTCATTTTTGTTTAATTTAATTCATTGTGTTTAAAATATCTAACTAACAAATTAGAAGCGTAGTGTTAATTAAAAAATGGTTTTACAAGTAAATAATTTAACAGTTTAATTTTATTGTGAATTTCTAATATGCTTAAAATATTTAGTTATGAATCATAATGTAGACTTATTTATTTAATCAAATTTAATAAACTTTATAATGACTAAAAGGGAAAGCTTAATTTGCGTGAAGACTAACACATTCAAAATTCTGTCCAGACTTACAAACCACTACTTGAAGCAAGAGCAGTAGCTTACTTTGATCTGTCTCAACTGGCAATAGGAAGTAAAACAATACAGATTCAAAGTACACCTGGCCTTGGGAAACTTCTGGCAGATACCATTGCAAATGTAAGTTTAAGTAGCAATTTTTTGTTAGACTAATGTCTAATTTTAAAGTTGTCTTAAATTAGCCATGAAAATAAATGTTTCATGTTTAGATTTTAAATCACACAAGAAACCCTTTATTAAAAGATAATTTTTTTTAAAAAATAAGATCATATAGTAGATCTATATAGATTTAGATTAGAAACTTAGAATTTTAAATTTTAATTCTTTGAGAACTACTAAAAAAAAACTTAGCTAAAAAAATGTTCACTAAAGGTATGGGCTTTTTCTTTTGATTCAAAATGTCACAACAGTTGCTTATGTTAACATTGTTTTGTATATCTTCTCACTAGCTGCCTGACCCAAAGACAGGAGACTACAACATTCCATCAGCCAGCCACAAGGAAGGGAGAGAACTCTACGAGAATAGCCTGGTGAATGGCTACAGTTCTAGCTCCGCCATCAGCGTCTTCCTGCAGCATCTGGGCCTACAGCTGGCACATGTTCAGTATCAAGAGGTAAGGGAAAATTTGTTGATGCTCTAATTATATTTTAATGTCTACTTTCAAAGTACGCACCGCCCAACCAAGTACACTCTGGTCAACTAAGTACATGCTGAATAGCTTGTTTAATCAAGTACACACTGAATCAATTAGTTTAATCAAGTACACACTGAATTAATTAGTTTAATCAAGGACACACATAATTATAAGTTAAACCATGTACACACATTGAATTGCTAGTTTAACCAAGTACACACTGAACTAATTAATTTAACCAAGAACACACAGAGTTAATTAGTTTAAGCAAGTACATATTTGATTCCTATTACACACTGAATAGCTAGTTTTATCAAGTATACACTGAATTAATATGTTTTATCAAGTATACACTGAATTAATATGTTTTATCAAGTATACACTTAATTAATGTGTTTTATCAAGTATACACTGAATTAATTTGTTTTATCAAGTATACACTGAATTAATGTGTTTTATCAAGTGTACACTGAATTAATGTTTTATCAAGTATACTCTGAATTAATGTTTTATCAAGTATACTCTGAATTAATATGTTTTATCAAGTATACACTGAATTGATCAGTAACAGCGACCAAATGTAGGCATTTGTTAATTATTAGTGGCCTGGTTAAATAGAATTATTTAATTTTACCTTTGCTGTTAACTCAGTAAAAATTTTAAAAATTTTGTTACTTACATTGTACCCTAATAATATAATGCTTCTGACGCCACTCTATCCCAGTACACTGACGTCAACAACTCTGTCACCTCCATGTCAGCTGTCGACCACGTCCACCACAACAAATACCACATAGCCGCAGCTCATGTGCTGGTCAAGGCTATGCTGGGCATTGTTGACTGCAAACTTCTGCCAATCAACCTCCTGGACACAGCCATCAGCATTAATACATCGTTACATAAAACATCAGAGCTTTTGATGACGTGTTCAGAAAACAAGACTTCTTTATGTGAGTACTGGGTTTTTTGTTTGAATTGCTTTAAAAGACAAGACTTTGAACTCATTTTATTCCTATCACGTAAAAATTATTTTAATTTTTCCGAATGTAGGCCTACCCGAGTCTGATGTGAAATAACTTTTTTTTAATTATCAAGTAAGAGTAAGAAAAATATCCATCAGTTTTAATAAAAATCAAGAGAAGTATTGTATTATGAAAACAAATAATTACCTTTATAACCTTGGGTCATCAACATAAACAATACAAAATGGTGTGGAAAAAATTTAAATTTCCTACATTAGCATACGTCATAAGTATGGTAAATGCAAGATCCTTTTTGAAAGTGTTTGATGCAAAAGTTGAAATATCACATTGGTATATAATTTCAAGAGGGTTGGATGTGGTATATAATTTCAAGAGGGTTGGAAAATGTGCGTTTTATGGCTGGATTTAAAGACATCTTCCATCTTTGAAACATTCAGTCAATAGAGTGGCATTCCCTAATTAACTTCAGGCCACTCCAAATTAGTTCAGGATGCTCAAAATTAATATTGTGTCCTCCTCCTTGAAAACTAAAAGCCATTCTTCAGATTCAGCCTAAATTTCCATGTTAAAACATCAGTTCAGCATCAAAATCCATTCGTTTAAATGCAGCCAAAATCCTTGAATTCATGAAGTACAAAGATAATCCTTTTATTAAAATAACAATCTTGCTTGAAATGTTTTTCAGCCTCTGCCTTAATATTATCCGATGACTTAGTGAAATCCAGCCGTGAGTTTCAAAATGATGCCAATAGTCTGATCCAAAAAAATAAGCTGAGAGCTTTTGCTATGATTAGCAATGTCAAGATGTTTTTGGATCGACTGTTTATCATGACAAATCAAGGGTAAGAAAATTATATACATTTTAGAATTTACAAAAAGATTAATTTAGAAATAACAGTAATTTAATCTTTATAGTTCTTACCTTTTCTTAAACATTGCAGAATTTCTCATCACTTTGCATACCCAACTCTCCAAAATGGAAGTATTGAAATAGCAACGGAGTTTTGCCTACTAGGGAAGATCACTAAAGTGTGGAGCACTACACATGAATGGGAAGAACAAGTAACCACTATTTTAAGTAGAGCACTGGCATTTTTACAGTTGAAATCTTAGTCGTCAAACGTCGCACATTTGTTTGACAATCCAGCCATGAAGGGATGCTAGCTGCAGCTAAACGACCTTCACACAGGCAGATTTCTCTCTATACCCTAAACTCAAGAGCTTTCAAAAACTGATCACCAGTAAATAAACCAAATGTCAAAGTGTAATGAGATTATTAAGTTATAAAGCATCTGGAATATTCCCTAGCTTTTACATGTTTTGTTGATAACAATCTTGACCTGCGTACAATGAAATATTTACTATAAGCAATATTGAATTGCGTCAAATGCTTATAGTAGTTTGCAGTCACCTTTTCTAAGTTGACAACCACTGTCTTTTGACTGGCCATGATTGCAATTACTAAAGTGAATTGACTTTCCTAGACTGACACTTCTGATGCACAATATTGATGAACAAAATTTGTCTTTATTTCATCATTCCATCAACTTTTTATTTCATCGCCACTATAAGGAAGCTTTAAATATTTTTTTTAATTGCACATAATTGACATACCATTTTTAAGACCAAATAATTACTTAATAATAATAATTTGATTTTGACTGCATTTAGACCTAGTTCTTTTCTAAATAATTTTATAACTATTTTAATTTAGATGCTAGTTTTTTTTTAATAAAATTTCTTTAATAAAATGCTTAGATCATTTTGAAAAATTTTAGTTTGACGGTGATTTAGGTTACTGAAAATGTAACTGTTTAAGATCACAAATTTATAAATGTTGATTTTGTAAACAGAAAATAAAACTATGTATGTATTTACCTGTGACCACCCACCTCTTAATTAATTACTTAATGTAAATAATTTCAAATTTGATAACAAGTTTACAAACTCGAGCAGTGCTCAACTTTATAGAATACTTTTTTTTATTCCAAAATATTCACTTCAGTCCAAAGAATTATAACTTAGCCACAGTTCCCTATGCAACTAATGTTTGTCCAGTTTTTATCAATGTGCCTGTATGCAATCATGAAATAGATGTTATCAATGTGCCTGTATGCAATCATGAAGTAGATACATTATCAATGTGCCTGTATGCAATCATGAAATAGATGTTATCAATGTGCCTGTATGCAATCATGAAGTAGATACATTATCAATGTGCCTGTATGCAATCATGAAATAGATGTTATCAATGTGCCTGTATGCAATCATGAAGTAGATACATTATCAATGTGCCTGTATGCAATCATGAAGTAGATACATTATCAATGTGCCTAAATGCAATCATGAAATAGATATGTTACCAATGTGCCTGTTTGCAATCATTAAATAGAAACGTTATCATTGTGCCTATATGCAGTCATGAAATAGATACATTTATGTGGTATTTATTTACAATTCTTAATTAAATCTCAGGGATTTCAATATGTACATACTTAATTTTTTAACTCTGTAAATAGTGGACTGTTAGATTGATGTTCTTGTTCAATGTATGATGTGTGGGAGGTGCAGCTACACTGTACATTTGCTGATGGATGTACACTAGTTGATGGATGTTGTGTACAACCTGTACACTAGTTTATGGATGTTGTGTACAACCTGTACACTAGTTTACGGATGTTGTGTACAAGTTAATGTCATTACTGCACACTAGTATATGGATGTTGTACAACTTGATGACATAACTGTACACTAATTTATGGATGTTGTGTACAAGTTAATGCCATTTCTGTACACTTGTTTATGAATGCTGTATAATTCATTGCCATTAGTATGCACTTGTTTATGGATGTTTATGTACATTACTGGAGTACTTTGCATAAATTATGTTTTAAGAATGTAATTATTAAAATATTGATAAACCTGTAATTATTTTCATATTTATTGTTTCTTAATATAACTTTTAACACCTGGCCTTGGAGAGTTAAAAAAAAAAGTTAAATATTTTCAAATGGAGCTTAACGTTGCTACTTAATGTACATAAATAAAACATGTTTAATTTTTAGTATTTTTCCAAAATGTTTAAAGATTTTTTTCTAATGTTATTCATCCATGTTTTATTTGTGACCTTTTGATCAGTTTTAAGTAAAATATTTTACAGATTTGAAAACATTACCTAAGTATTTGGTTATTAATATGTAAATTGATTAAAGATCATTATCCAATTTATTCCAGAACATACAATTTTAAGCAGAATTATCCAAGTTGTTTAAAAAATAAAAGTAGTTTAGATTTTTAATGCACTGCACTAGTTAATTTTCATAAATGTTAAATAAAAACAATTACACACTGTATATAAATCATAATAAGTTCATAAATTTTAATTTTGACCATCCATTTTTCCCCATGGTGCATTATGAAATATTGATGTCAATTGTTTCTCTGTTGATATGTGCCTTAGAGTTAAATATTGTTGTTTTTTTTGTTGTTGTTTTTTTTTGTTAAAATAATCACACTTTTTATTCACATGTTTATGGAGTTGAAACTGGTGAAAGATTGAATAAAAAACATGTTGGATAAAATGATTAAAATTTTTTTTTTTTAAATTATGTATCGGCTTGTATTCCTTCAACCAGTGGAGAGTTCAGGAGATTTAGATGAAATCTGTAAGATTTAGATGAAAGCTGTACACCAGTTCAATTTTAAACTGGTATCCTCTGTATCCCACTGAATGTGGTTACTGGTGTGTGATATATGGTTGTAGATTTCTTTTAGTTTTGATAGTTATGCTTTAACTGAAACATCTGGTACTGCATTTCTTTCCTCCTAAATACACCCCCCATACTACATAGGATTATTTAAGGATTTTATAGTTTAAAATTTTGTTGTAGTCATATTTTAAATTTGCATTTGCTTATATTTGTATTTGTAAGTTATATTTGTATCATTATGTTCAAAATGAACTCTCATTTCTCATACTCCAGGACATTCTAAATCTGGAGAGTTCCATTTCATTTTTCTTTATGTGTTACTTTTTTTATTTTTGTTTGTAAATTGTTTTTGGTGTTATTTTCTTTTCTGGTGTAAATGATTATCATGTGCAAGTTAAAGAAAGAATTACTTCAAGCTTGGATTTAGATTAATAATATTTCATCATTTGTTTTCAATACAATGCTTCAAGAATGTAACAATACGTCTTCATAGTTTGTTGTTTAAAATGTATTTGTATCAGTGCTGAGATGGAGCTCAAGGTTAGTATTGAGTAGAGCTCAATTCAGTGTTTCTTTCGGGCTGCTCCCCTGGGAAAGGGGGGGGGGGCATGCAAATTGTTATAGAAATGGATTAATATCTCAATGTTTTACAGAGATCAACAGTTTTTTTACTTCAAAATTTTGAGGGGGGGGGGGGGGAGGTTGCGGTTTAGTCGAGTTCCGGCTTTTTATGACGATGGGGCAGGGGAGGTAAAAATCGCCCACAAAGTGTGACGCCATTTATTGCTGATCCCCAAGAAACATTAGATTTCTAAGATGATCACAATGAATTATTTGTATAGGCCTACTCTTAAATTTCAGTTTAAAAAAATCAACCCTGATGTGACAACATATTATACAGGGTCAGAGTTTCTTCCAGGCATCTCTTCACCTCCCGAACGAAATGGAATTTATATAGAAAATATATACTTTTATTAAATTTTAAGTGTCCGTCCCCCCGAAAATTTCAAGTGCCCCCCCCCCCCCCGTTCAGTGTAAAAGGTTTTAGAGATTACATTTGTGCACATTTCTTTGCGCACTACTGTGCGTTACTAACCCAATTCAGCTTTGCACATTTCCGCACCAATGTTTACTGATCATTTTACGCCGTCGTATTCCCATATATAGTGCTTTGCGCACTGCGGTGCGTTATTACCCAACAAATTCAGCTTTGCACATTTCCGCACCAATGTTTACTGATCATTTTACGCCGTCGTATTCCCATAACAGTTAGAGTCAACAGTGCCGGGTTGGGTGACTACTTTCATCTTTAAGTCTTGAGTGGTGCGACTACACCTTTAGGTAAGCATTAGATTAACAACTTATCTTGCTAATGATAGCATTGTTGACTCAAGGTTCTTTATTTTAAATGAGCGTTGACACATGCATGATGCCAAAAACATATGATATATCAAGTAATAGATCTAGAAATCGGTAATCTATCGTTTTGGGTACGTAAAATCGCCCGCGGCTTCTAATGTTCGAAAACGTTACCTCATTGTCAAGGCTTTAATAGAGGTATATTTTAATATATTTGTGTCAAATATTATAGATAAATGAATAATAAACCTAAATCAATAGCTAAATAATACTAAATATATCAATATAGGCAAGAAATTAACTTTAAACAGCAGTATTTACGAGCAGGATTTCCTATATAAACTGCAGCCATTTGTAAAATAGAGTTGCCTTCCCCTGAATCTTGCGCTATACGTTAACAAAGAAAGAACTTAAACAAGATGGCTGCTATAGTAAATGAGCATTGTTGCATCTGTTGGAAACATCGCTAGTCTTCATTTATTATTGAAAAGTTTTAATTCAATTGTTTGAAAGCAGGTACATAAATGAAACAAGGAAACATTTTTGTATTTTTCAAAACATAAATCCTCCTCAAAATGTGAAATAATTATTAAAATTTAAGGAGTCACCTGTCTTTCACATTACTAGTAGCGGGCGATTTTACGTACCCAAAACGATAGATTACCTAGAAATCTTGATTTAATGTAGCAGGCAATATTCAATATGTGGTGAATCTAGATCTAGATCTACAATCTAGGTCAAAACGTTCCAAAATAACTCGAATAAATTGCTACACAGATAGATCTAGTGATAAGAAGCGAATCTTTTAAAAAAAAATTATACATGATCCATGACGTACTAGATCTAGAACAAGTCAAATACAGAGAAGAATTTTTTCAGGCATTTTTACGAAAGTTTTAAGTGCACCCCCCCCCCCCCCTCCCGCCCCAACCGCTGGAGAAAAATGACAAGAAAAAGCCTCTTCCAATCCTTCACATTTTTTTTTTGAGTAGGCCTACAAAATATCCCTCTTCCAATCCATGCGCTATTTTAGGGTACATCACAGCCCCTCTCCCGAGCCTCTAGGGTACATCACAGCCCCTCTACCGAACTTCTAGGTAACATCACAGCCCCTCTACCGAGCCTCTATTTTTAGGCTACATCACAGCCCCTCTACCAAGCCTCTAGGTGACATCACAGCCCCTCTACCGAGCCTCTATTTTTAGGGTACATCACAGCCCCTCTACCGAGCCTCTAGGGTACATCACAGCCCCTCTACCGAGCCTCTAGGTGATATCACAGCCCCTGTACCGAACCTCTAGGTAACATCACAGCCCCTCTACGGACCCTCTATTTTTAGTGTACATCACAGCCCCTCTACCGAGCCTCTATTTTAGGGTACATCACAGCCCCTCTACAGAGCCTCTAGGTGACATCACAGTCCCTCTACCGAGCCTCTATTTTTAGGGTACATCACAGCCCCTCTACCGAACTTCTAGGTAACATCACAGCCCCTCTACCGAGCCTCTATTTTTAGGCTACATCACAGCCCCTCTACCAAGCCTCTAGGTGACATCACAGCCCCTCTACCGAGCCTCTATTTTTAGGGCACATCACAGCCCCTCTACCGAGCCTCTAGGGTACATCACAGCCCCTCTACCGAGCCTCTAGGGTACATCACAGCCCCTCTACCGAGCCTCTAGGGTACATCACAGCCCCTCTACCGAGCCTCTAGGTGACATCACAGCCCCTGTACCGAACCTCTAGGTAACATCACAGCCCCTCTACGGACCCTTTATTTTTAGTGTACATCAAACCCCTGTACCGAACCTCTAGGTAACATCACAACCCCTCTACCGAGCCTCTAATTTTAGGGTACATCACAGCCCATTTACCAAGCCTCTATTTTTAGGGTACATCACAGCCCCTCTACCGAGCTTCTATTTTCAGTGTACATCACAGCCCCTCTACCGAGCCTCTAGGGTACATCACAGCCCCTCTACCAAGCCTCTAGGGTACATCACAGCCCCTCTACCTAGCCTCTATTTTTAGGGTACATCACAGCCCATTTACCAAGCCTCTATTTTTAGGGTACATCACAGCCCCTCTACCAAGCCTCTATTTTTAGTGTACATCACAGCCCCTCTACCGAACCTCTAGGGTACATCACAGCCCCTTTACCAAGCCTCTATTTTTAGGGTACATTACAGCCCCCTCTACCGAGCCTCTAGGTGACATCACAGCCCCTCTACCGAGCCTCTAGGTGACATCACAGCCCCTGTACAGAGCCCCCACCATGAACGAGGCGTCCTGCTGCGGCGAGGGGGCCAAGAAACCCCTCGTGGTGGTGGACATCATCAGCGACGTCTTGTGACCCTGGTGTTGGGTGGCGAAACGGCGACTCGAGCAGGCGGCCAACACACTCAGTCTGAAGTATGTGGTGCGTGTTCGCTGGGAGCCGTTTCTCATCCACCCTAACTGCCCCCTGGAGGGGATCCCCGTGGAGGGTCCTATCGGCGGCGATTTGGCGAACCCGAGGTATGATGAGAGCAAGAAGCTTGTTAATATAACGGTATGCGTGTTGTATTAGTTAACAGTAGGCGTGTTACATGAAGTAACATTATGTGTGTTGTATTAGCTAACAGTATTAGGCATTGGTCTAGACATTTTGAGTTTCATGTAAACACAAGTCAATACATGGTAGTCAGCATACTGGGTAATTGGGTAGGGGGAGTCTACTTGACATTGAGTGGATTGTATGGGAGGGTCTCCTGGATATTGAATGGGAGGGCGTCTATTGGATGCAGTGGCGTAGCCAGGATCGTCTCATGGGGGGGGGGTCAAATTTTTCCCCGCATTATAAATGTATATATCAGAGGCGCAGCGTCCCTCCCCGGCCCATGAGGACAAACTTTTCATTTGCACCCCCCCCCCCCCCTCATACTTTCGATTTTGCACCCCCCGCTCAACCTTTATGTATCCACCGAGGGGTCTATGGGGGGGGGGGTATGACCCCCCCCCCTAACTACTGATTGGATGGGGGGCGTCTATTGGATGGGAGTACTGGCTACTGTATGAAAGCGAGTCTACTAGATACTGGATGTGAGTGAGTCAACTGGATGTTCAATTAGATCAATTATGAAACAAATCTAACCCGATGTCACATTTTGAAAATATCTCTGCGTTTTTAGATCATTTTCTTACTCTCTCCTAGCGTCTCTAAAAACATTACATGTACCTTGACGACGATTGTAGATACAGCTTGTTACCTTCTCTCTAGATACTTGCACCTGAAGGAAACTGGCAAGAATCTGGGAATAGATTTTAACTTTACCTGTCCTGTCTACCCCAACACTGTACCGTCCCACGTCTTCCTCGACTACGCTAAAACCGTTAAAGATGGCGCCCTACAGAACGAGATTATGGAGAGGCTGTTCAGGGTAACTCACTTTTTTTTTGTGGTGTTCAGTGTTTCAAAGTTTGCTAGTTTTCATACCTGGCTCTAGGGACGGCGTGGTCGGGCGAGAGAGCTTGTGCTTGCTCAATCAGAAGTCCCCGTGTTCGGAACCCGGACAGCAACCTATCTAGCAGAAACTCCAAAAAACAAACAAGTGCTGCCTTGCAAGACAAGTCCTGTGGGTGGACAAGTGGGTGGGTGCGATGGAAGGAAATCTAGACTGAAAATCAGGATACGCTTGCGTCAACGGGCGCAAAACATGTTGACACATAGTACTCAATTGAGGATGGGAAAATCATCTCCGATAATACAATTAAGAACAAAAAAAGGAAGTATAAAATATTTATGGTTTACTGGATACAAACAACATAATACATTGTAGAACAATTTTCAAAATTCCTTTTTAAACCCTCCAGTAGTTTATTTTGCCTAAGATTAACTTGTCTATATTGTTACCTCAGGCTTACTTGTCTATATTGTCTCAAGCTTACTTGTCTATATTGTTACCTCAGGCTTACTTGTCTATATTGTCTCAAGCTTACTTGTCTATATTGTCACCTCAAGCTTACTTGTCTATATTGTCACCTCAAGCTTACTTGTCTATATTGTCACCTCAAGCTTACTTGTCTATATTGTCACCTCAAGCTTACTTGTCTATATTGCCTCAAGCTTAC